GTATGCTCAAATCCATTACTATCATCATCATTATCAGTGCCATCATTACCATCACCACTAATTACAGGCAATTTCTCAAAACTTTCAGGCAAACCATCACTTGATATGCGATTACCCGAATATTCATTACTGCCCATAGTCTTAGAAGTCAACTCCCGGTTCCCAACATCATCCCCGGTCTCGGGACCGGTACTATTGCCCGACTCGTTAGAATCAGTCAGCATCCGGGTCATCGAACCGGGCCTTACTAGATTACCACCATTATTATTATTATAGTAAATTTGGCACCATTTACGCTGGTTACGATAAAGTTGCACCAGTACCCTTTTTAGCGAATCAAAATACGCCGAGTACTGCGCCTGTCGTCTATTGTACACGGCGTCAAACCTGTCGGTAAATTTTTCTACAATACGCTGTATAGTGTCTGGTGTGCGGCCGAGCAGCTCGAGCTCGAGCTCGCACTCGGCCAACAGTTCGGTCAGATCGAGCAGACAGTCCTCTTCGGTGGACAGTCGGGTCCGCAGTTCGTCCGCTTCGGTAGACGTCCGGCGCTGTCGAGCGAATAGATCGCCGAGAAATTGCTTCAGGGTATCGATTGAGTCCGGTTTGTTCACGTCGTATACGGTGTCAATGTTGCACAGGTCGTGGATGTGGTCAATCTGTTTTTGTGGATTAATAAATGGTGTTAATTAATTTGTGTGTAATTTTATTAGTAAACTCGTAATAATATTGCTTTTTTAAATGCTTATGTCAATGATTAAAAATATGTTTTAAAAATGTGTGTTTGAAATGATTGTATTTTTATATTTATTTTTTGTATTTCCATTTATTATGTTTTTATTCATTATACTGGTTAAAAAATTAGTTACTTACTAAGATTTTTTAAATAATTGTGCAGAATACACATTCGTCCCAAACTTAAATTTAATAATGCTTTTCACATATAAATGTTTAATGTAAAACAAAAATTTACAGTTTATAAAGTACGTTCAAACATAAAAATTTTACATAACATAATACTCGCATTGTTTGACAACGGGTGTCCCATCAAATCTGTAAAGTGCATTTTATAAATATGCTACATGTAATTTAGTGTAGCATAATTTATATAATGTTTAATCATACAAAACTATTGTATTTGCCATCAAAAATTTAAAACAATTGTATGAATGAAAAAATATTTATCTATTTACTATTTATAGCTCAACTCTGTCTAAAATTAACAATATATTAATCAACATTGTATCTATTATGGTATTTACCAGTGATTTAAGTGCGATATTTTGTTGGACAAGAATATCGCACGTATTTTGTAGTGCAGAATATTCTGCGCTCAGATTCTGGTGCCGTTCCTGTGATTCTCGTTGCGTTTGTCGTACTTTTTCCTCCAGAATCTCACCATTAGTTTTGTGATATCTATTGATTTCATCGACAAATTGCCTCAATTCAGTCACTTGTCGGCCAAACTCTATGGCCATTGTATCCGCAAAATGGCTATAATTTGCCGCTTTTGACACTAATTCTTGCGATTTGTGGTTAAATTGTCGCAAATTTTGCTCAACAAAAGCGTCGATATCTTTCACCGGTTGTGTTTCACCACTACTTTCTATACAATTATTATGATTATTGTCATTAACACTATTATCACTTTCTACCGACAATTTTCTGCCAATATTGTAATTAATGCCGTTATTATTGGGGCCAAGATTGCTGGCAAATTGATCTTGTAACTTTAGTATAATCTCATCCTTGCGGGCCATTAACCTGGAGTGTTTCTGTAACATCTTGGTCATTTGTATAAAGTTTTGTTTCAACACTCGGTTCTCTGATTTTAATTTCACAAATTCATTGCCCAGTGTTTGTGTGGACGGGTAGGGGTCGTCGTAGTCCACCAGTGCCTCTAATTCATCCTAGATGCAAAATAAAATAATTATTTATAACAAATAATTAAAAGTTTATTTATAATTATTAATTAGTATACCTCTGCTATATCTTGTTTGCTATACATGTTATGATAATTAGCGTTAATATTGTTGTTATTAACAGAATATTCTTGTGACACAGAATATTCTGGTTTAGCATTAGTTTCACCACTAATTGTTATATCTGTTAGTGTTTGAAGCACATCACTACTATTTAATTGTTGATCTAGATCAAGTGACAAATGTTTGCCATTTCTATTACGAACACGGTGATTATTTTTATCATGATTTTTATCACGATTCACATCAAAAGTGGTGAATGAGTTATCAAATGATGCGCTCCTTATACGCCTAACCGTCTGGCCGTTAGGCACCGGTAGTGTCGATACTAATGGTGGAAATCTAGATGAGTTTGGCCTCTGATTTGCCGCTGAAGACGACGATGGTGATAACTTTGTTGAATCGGTCATGGTGGCTTTTTGGCCACTTCTTAATTTATTGTATACCTGTATTATTGGCATTAAACTCATGGTTAAATGAATTGTATTTTTTTTGCTTAACAAATACAGAATAAAAATAACTAAAAAGTATAATTCATGAATTATACAGAAAGTCAAATAAAACTGAAAATATAATATAACTAAAAATGTTTATAATATGCAAATAATAATATTATTTTTACCTACAAAAATCAAATTACTATAATTTATTCTAGGTTAATGTTCATGGCGTGTTTACACCATGTTTGAATAATGTACAAAAAATAGCGGTACAAATGTATAATGCTTGCACTAATTGTTCAGTTATATGTATTTCCATAAAGATAAGTATATTTTCAAACATTAGTTTAATGATAGCATTGATATTTTTATGGCACATAAGTATAGGTCGCGACACAATAAATATTCAGTCACTTTCTTAGAGCCATATATTTAGTAATGAATTTTGAGAAAATGAAAGTTAAATATTAGGTTAGTATCATTATAGCAATATAAATATACAGTACTGTTAAAACATTTATTCATGTGCAATCATGATCGATTGCGAGTATTATTGCTATTATTATAATCTGCATCATTAACTATGGTGGAAAACATTTTGCATTTATTTTAAAATCATCATTATAATGTTTATAAAATTATTTATTTAGAATATGAATGAAATTCAAAATATATTACTTGTAATAATTCATATTGCTAAAATATTATCACAATTGTTATGAATATAATAGGATAATATATTAGGGTATATAAATTATATAATGCTGGTTGAGTAATACATAAATTATTTACTATGATTGTTCTGAAATTATTATAAAATTATAATATAAGCATGCTTGATAAACTAATCATATAAAATAATTCATTTTGTTAGCCACTTTCCAAACATCAATTTAATAAAATCTATCATACATAGATGATAAATGTAATGCATAAATTTACAGTTTATAAAGCAGGCTAACACCCATAATCACCATGATTAAATGACACATTGATAGTACATTACAGCATAAAATAATACTTATTTGAAAAAAGGCGATCCATCAAATCAGAAAATAACATTTTAGAAATGTGCTAAATATAATTTATTGTTACATAATTTATATGTTATATTAAATCTATTGTATTTGGGATCACATATAATTTTTAAACTAAATCATCTAAATGACAATGTAGTAAAAAAGTAAATTAATATTTATATTATAAAGTACTTTTATAATGATCAGAGATAATAATCAATATAAAAATTATAAAAACAAATAAAAACTATTATCAAGTTTATTTATAACTCATTTCTCTATTAATTGTATCAAAATATAATAGAAAATGCAATTATTATTGAAACTAATGAATAAAACACAAAAACTAAAATAAAATACTTTTTGCAATAATTATTATGAGTTCAATACAATAATTAATTATAATAGTTAGCAAAATAATTATTTTACAGAATATTCTGTAATTGCATTACACCTTCTGTTGCATTACACCTGTATATGCATTATATTTTGGGAATTCAATTTCCTGTCCCCGATTATAATTATATTTACCGGAACTTTCATTATGATTAAAAATATATAACCTATGATATACTGTATGTTAATTGTGTACATTATGAAACAATACTGTTTTATACTTGTAATAATATCATGTTTGAGTTAGTTTAAGCATTTGGCAAACATATAGTATATTATTCTGTTTTAATAATTAATATGACATTTAAAATGACATTTAAACTTAGTTCAAGTATAAGGAATTCTAAAATAATTTGTACATGTAGTGCTTAAATAGTTTTGTATTATGGTATATTATTTATGGTAAATGTTTGGAGCAATGTAAATGATTGATTAATTACTTGCAAACTTGTATACGTTAAAAAACATTTTAACTAATTCAAATGTTCATTTAAAACTAACAATGAAATAAAATTTAATAAGTAATCAGTTAAATACATGAATGTAAATAAATTATAAAAGGCATTGTAGAGAC